AACTAGTTCGGAACCATCGAATAAGGGATGCAGCGGGGGGCTTGTTTACTTTACATAGATATGTGTTCGGTGGCTTTTTCGTTCGTGGCTTCTATTCTGTGCTTCGCAGATGCTTTTTCATAGCTTGGTAATACAAAACTAAAATTTGTGTTAATATTTCAACATCTTGGGACCGTCTGGAATCTAAGAAATAACAGCGAGCACCTCTGCAAGCTCCTCTACAGCTAAAGGTATGTAAACGTACATTTCTTACAGTCATTCAAACAAATTTAATTTCAAATTGAAAACACATTTCTTCCAAAATAACTTAAAACGCACACACGGAAGAACCAAAAAGATTGAAAAATCATGATACTTTTTTCTTTCGTCTGTCGATTTTAGAACTGGGTCGGATCTTTAGAATTTAGAACTGGTTCGGAACTATCGAAAAAGGAATGCAGCGGGGGGGCAATTGACACTTAGTACTGGATCTAAATGTACTAGAAGCGCACCAGTGCAGAACTAGAGATTTTCCCCACAGGGTATGTACACAAAACTACTAAGTATCATATATTTTCTATCGGTTTCCAAATATTTCTTTTTTTGCTTTTCTCTTATCAAAAGAGTTTTAAATATGTACTATTTTTTTTTGTATAAAAACAAGAGCTCATCTAAATATTAGCAACGGGCTTTTTCGTGCCTTTTCGTGCTTTTATGAAATTTTACTGAACGCCCAGGCCCGCACGAGTTCGTGCTGACAGCAAATATTGCGACCCGTACCCGCGGGCATAATCGCGTATGTATATTCAGTATAATTATAAATCCAATATGGCCGCCGCCACAAAATAGCGGATTACATATTTTTTTACAACGCCCCTCAATATGGGTATCAAATAAAAGGGCTTAACTAAAAAGTTCCAAATCCAAGATGGCACTTCAAAAAATGGCGGATCGCATTTTTTTCAATCTCCTCAATTGGAAGGTTTTTGACTAGTAGAATACAATACACTATGAACGGTTTTATTCTAAAGAAATTATGATATGGATAACGCACTGAAAGCTAAAAAATTATTAAGTAAGTCTTAGGTACTAATCATCACACCACTCTCCTCATCCATCTAGGCCATCTATCTGACTAAAAAATAATATCATGATTTAATATGTAATAGTATTTCCCTATAATCATATGAGCGGTTGATTGTTGATAGAAATTTCGTGAGCGACCGTAAGATGGTCTTAGTACAAGTTGTGAACCAAAATTGCAACTTCAAGTATAACCCGTGCATACTTGCAGTATATCTTACAGCAATAAAACTTTATATGTGTATGTTACGCCTATCTAATTACTCAGAAAAAAATTTCCGCTTATGTTCTGGGACACCCTAATGTGCATACATCATCAAAAACTATCGCCTTAAATACTTAAGATTGTTCTAATTATTTTCGTTTATCAAGACTTTTGACATTGATGTTTTCAACTTTCTGGTGTTTTTGTTTCTCTAATTTTCGTATTTTCATTGCTAGGAGTGTTTTTGTTTTCAGTTATCAACTTTTATTAATGAGCATTTAAATACTTGTCGATAAGAATCGATACAGCGCGCAGCAACATGGAAGTCTCGACATTGGCGAGAAGCATTTCACTTGTGCATTTACGTGAGATATTCCACTTCTTGCTCTATTCCTAGTATGGTTATCCAATTTTTTGGTCTGTTCCTATGAACTTCGGACTAAAACCTGTGGAACTGTCAAACTACAATTTTACTCTCTCAAGTGAGAGTAACATGAGAACAGATGCAGAAGTGTATAGGAACGCAAAAAGCACTATTTTCTGTAAAAACGTCAGACGGTTTGTTTACATGTCATTGGTACTACACTGATTTGGCTGAAATATCACTAAATAATTATTAAATTCTATACATATTTAAATACTTCGTTGTTTACTTCCATTTTTTAACAAATATAAGGTTCTTTGCTTTCACCGCTTTCTGTTTTTGTTTGCACATGTAAGTCAGCTGATCGTTTGACACTTTTCATGAACTTACAGGAAAAAAATCTCCGGACTAAATCCTGTAACTTCTGACTAGGAACAGTTGCTCAGTTACTCTCTCAAATGTGTTCTCACTTACAGGTTTTATGTCAATAGGAACGACTTCCTGTAAGTTCTGACTAAATCCTGTAAACCGGACTGCTATTGGAACAGACTATTTAATTTATGGTTTAACAAATGTCTGATTATGAAAGTGTTAAAAAATTTAATCGTACGCTTTCCTTTGTAAAGGATTGTTTTTGTCCATAGCTTATATACACAATGGTAAAAGGCACTAGGTGTAGCAAAAAAGGCAACAAAATAGCGAAAAAGGCAGGAAAAGGCACTAGGTATTGCAAAAAAAACAAAATAAGGCACTAAAAAGACAGAAAATACGAAGAACAATAAAAAAATACATTTATTTTAGAAATGTTTATATTACAAGTAAAAAGAGAAAAACTATGAACTAGTTTCATTATATGAAAAATTTGTACTTTAAATCTTTGACTATTTTATCCTTTCGGGTTTCTAACTCATAAAACTTTAATCTGTATAGTTGTAGTAACATTGAACCACAATTTGGCAAGAGGTCCCTGCGCTTCTATAAGCCGCAATGTGTATATTTTTTAATCTTAAAAAAAAAATTGTAAATGCTATAATAACTTTTTTAAAGGTAGAAAAGGCAAAAAAAGGCAAATATCTTAAAAAGGCAAACAAAGGCAACATCAAATGTGTATATATGGAATCAGGGAAAGCTAAATCGTGGACATTTCTAATCGAATATACTCTATCTCTTTAGCAGAAAAAGAGGCAATTTCCATAAAATCCGTTCCTTGGTTATCATTGTTATGTAGCGTTTGCCGTTGACAGTGATGGCCTCACCTATGCGGTTTTCAAGGCAGTACGAACCAATTACACCGGCGGCCCAATATCCGAACCATACCGTAACTTTGTTGTGCAACGGTTTCACTAACGAACGCCCATTTTGACAATAAAATTTTATAGTTTGGGCGAGGTGCTCCATCGTGTAACTTATCATGATTAATTGGCATCAGTGACTGAAAAACCTCGCCGCCAGAGGGCGTCAAAATCTACCCGCGCCAATTGAAAAACCCTTTAGTGAGTAGAATTGGTTGCCGAGAAAGATAAGGCCCGTTACTGTGAAGAAGCGAGCTAGATCAATTTCAATAGCAGTTTCTACCGACAACGAATTCTACGTAGCGAAATGATTTAAGTTTGATTTAAGGACTATGTCCTGGATGGGATGGGGTACACATATCATCTAAGTGGTCTTCTGTGATCGCCGAGTGAACTACTTGAGATCAGCTTATTCAGCCCGCTAGATCAGTAAGTTATTTGCGCACAACTTTCTTTTAATTCTACAATGAGCAAACAATGATTCCAAGGTTAGGTTAGGTTAGGAAGGCGCGTACGAATAAATGATTTCAAGTCGAGGTTATGTCACTTTTCTAGAAAAAAATGTCCATGAAACGTTCTTTGAACTCGTCTAATCAGCAAAATATTCAATTATCAAAAACTAACTACTAGCTACTAACAATAAAAAAGCACCACCAACTCATTACTACCCAGCCAACAAAAAATCCGCAAACCGATCCGAAAAAGGAAAAAAAAGTGGATGAAGTGCGGAGTTTTTTCCGTTTGCCAATTCCATTTTCGGATACTTTGACGATCGGTTTTCCCACTAAAGTGTGCGGCAGAAACGCATGTACAGACAACTACCGAAAATTGTTTGTGAACGGATACTTTTTCGGCTGTTTTTTCTGAAATTTTTCTAATAAAATTTTTCGTTCCATACGCTTTCCTTCTGCACTTCGCAGATACTTTTTCATGGTTAAAAAAATAAAAAATAAAAAAAAATTAGGAAGCGCCTACCGGAATTCGAACGCGGCACCTTCTAGAAGCTAACAAATAGCGGCACGCACCTCTGCACGCTCAGCAACTGCCGCTCACGCATGCATGCTTTCAAATGTTTAGTTTGAACAAATAAAATACAATTATAGCTTTCAAATAACATCATCTTTTTCGAACGCTTCGAACGTTTTCGGGATACGAAAATTAATGATAACTGTAGTCGTTTTCTGTTAGTTTCCGGATACGGAAAATTGTACTAGACTGCACTGTCGGCAAAATTAACGTTTCTTTGCTGGCTGGGTAAATATGAAATCGAATACCTTAACATACAGTCGCTCACTTTTACATGCAGTATTTCTGTAAAGCAGTGAACGTGCTACTAAGCCATGCATTTGGACTCTGGACAGCCAACAGCAAGTGACGCATACCCCATATACGATATCAATAGATATGAAAGAATAGCTATGGAGCGGTCTTTGGTATAAAAGCTGAAATTTCGAAATTTGCATTGATGGCTAAGTCGGCGACAGCAAAATGACGGCGATTTCAAAGCGCAAAGTTCTTATTTATTGCTTGCAATTACTAGACAACTCTAAGCAAAGCTAACATTTGGAACGCTTAAAGCGGCAAGAGCAGAAAAGCATTGTTTTTAGAATGAAAGTGTAGGAGATGAGCAAGCGCCAGTTGTCTAGGTTAGCGAGGGTATCAAAATGTGTTCGAAATGGTTGGAGAGGAAAAAACTTGCGCTAAAGCTAAAAACAATAAACAGAGGAAATAAAAACAATCATAGCAAGCGAGTAAGACAAAAGAAAAGGTTCGCAATATTTTGGTGATAGATAAATATATATGTATAACGATCGACAGCTTCGCACCACTGCCTCTGCCGCTGGCGCTGCTGCTGTCGCTGCTTGCGTCACTTTTGGTACTTCAGTTGTGCGGCTGTAGTTGTAAGCGATTTTTATTGCATTTGTGTGTGAGCGCAGCGCATTGATAACAACGACTCGCATAAAGTGATCGACGGCGACAATATTGCTCAGTATCAATAATTTTTTATTTTTTTTTTTCGACTACATAAGAAAGTGCAGTAAAATATGAAATGGAAAATAAATATTAATCGTAAATAAATACAACAGCAAGCATTTCAGTATACCAAATGTAGATAAGCGTTTGCTTGTATTGCGTTCGACAAGCAAGCCAGCTAAACAAGCAAACGCCAATAACTTCATACTAAATATTTACTAGGCACATCGCTATCAGCAACATTTTAGACGTTCAACGCCTCTTAGAGACCGCCAGCGTACGCTATGAATACTCAGCGCGCTTGACCGCACAGCTTGGCCTGGCAACTACTCAGCTTCGAGGCGCGTCGCAGTCAAACGTCGCGTCGATCGTTGATCGTCTTTTGAAACATTCATCAAAACGGCGAGTCGAACTTGCAAGGCTCCAAAACCGTAACACGAAATTCAGTTAACTCAAAAGTGGCGTCGGATGTGGAAGTGAATTTTGAAAAATTCTACAAAAAAAAATAAATAATTTTGTGAACCGTTGAAATTCAAAAACGAATTTAAGCTGCAGAGTAGAACAAAGCGCCGCTTTTAAAGGAAAATTCTCACACAAGGCAATTTAGTTTGCGTTTGCAGGTGATTACATACAAATTTGATGCGTTTAAATTAAACACATAACGGCACGCATGCACGGCCAGGCAAAGTGATCCTCAACTGATCGTCGTAAACAAATTACGAGTATTTACATACTTTTGAAAATCACGCGTTATACTTACCAGCCGCCCTTATTTGAGCTGTAATTTTGCAAAAGCTATTTGCAGTTAATTCTAGTTCTAATTCTAAAATTATTATCAAGCAGCGTGCGTGTGCTGTTAAGCAAAAAATCTCTCTAACGTTCAGTGGTGCAAAATTTTTACATTTCCAATTCTTCTCAGTAACCAGCCACAAGCAACCAGTCACACACAGAGCACTTACTACAAATATGTCCAACGCCGTAAATAGCGGGGAAGCGTTCAATATACGCGTGAATTACTTGAAGCCCGAAACAGTGGAAATTGCCAAAAATGAGCTACGCGAAACACCCGAGATCAAGGAGGCCGCGATCAAGGAGCTGCGCGAACTTTTACACGCTGCCACAGATATAAACTACAAGGATGATGATGAGTTTCTGGTGATATTTCTGCGCGCTTGCCACTTCTATCCAAAAAGTGCACTCGAAAAGGTAGGTCATTGTTGATGACAAAAAAAAAAA